ATTATTTCATTGTTTCCTGGTTTTATTTGCATCCTGTTAGATGTTACTTGAAGTATCAACGCCACATATGGCTCAAGCACAGTTGTTTCACCCACGAACTTGTAGAAATGCATCGTTTAGAATTAAGGTCGTTGATCATGATAATGAATAATAATGGAGCCTACAACGGGAACAACTACCACGGCTATTCAGATTGTATGTTTTTATATTCAACTTTTTGAGAACGAGAAAATAGAGATGGTGACTTCTGTAAAAAATGGTGTGTATAGCAGTACCATGCACAACAGAAAAAACAAACAAACAGACAAATGAAACTCTCCTTAAGGAAGCAAATACATTATCAGCTAGATGGTGTCGATGGGTAGCCATTGCATATCCCCCCACTTCCCCATATTATCAAGAGCAGCTCACCCCTAGTGACCACTTACCACACACGCACGTACACACGCACGTACGCACACACATGCACGCACATCACTGCTTCATCCAAAGATATTTAAAAATATAAATGTTAAAAAATCTTTATAAATATAAAAATATGTATGTACACTGGTGTATATATATATATATATATATATATATATATATATATATATATATATATATATATATATATATATGCTAAGAAACAGAAAAGAGAACAGAAAAGTTATCCACATATTTGGATAAATAAAACATGAATAATGTTTTAGATCCAATGATTAAAGTATGAGGAAAATAATTCGGTTATCTGCTGAAATAAAGAAACTCAGTAAAGGCATCAAATGAAAACAATAAATATAAACATTTCCTAATAAGCATTCATGTCACATAAGTACTAATAAATATAGATACACTTATAAATACCACCACCAAATATCCTTTTAGTCGCCTCCTACGACATGCCAGGATAAAAGCAGCAGGCTCATTCTCTCTTCCCCAAACCTGCACAGGGATAGATTTTAAAAAAATATCTGCTATACAACAGAATCTGATAAAATGGTAACAAAAAAGTACATGTACCCCTAACTAGTACAGTTAGACAAAGCAAATCATAGCATATAACAGAAAAATAGAATCACCAATCTCACTCTAATACACCGCTTTCTCTCTTTCTCTCTCTCACACACAGACACACACCCACACACATTTTTAAAGCACTTTGAACTTACTTAACTTACTTAAAATCAAATTTATTAAAAAAGAAAGGATTCCATCTTCACGTGCGATCCTTAAATAACCAAACATAGTACAGTTGGTAATCTCTGCACTAAATATTTTCAAAAGCATGCCTGTAACCTCATTTGCACCTCTACCAGTGTATTGGGTTTGTGTCTTTTCCAAGTTTTTCCTCGAGCACGTTTGCGTCCACAAAAGTAATGCCTCAGTATTAGGGGTGGGCAAATGAAGG